AGCTCGCGCCGCTGCTCGACATTTCCATTCCCATTTCCATTTACATGCATATCCGAAAGAAAACTCGACTCGACGCGCATATCTAAAGCCGAGCTGGCCGCCGGCTGCCAGCCGCCGGGCGCAAAGGTGAAAGCGGCGGCATTTGAAATTCTTTTTTTTTGTTGTATTTTCAGTTTTTTACTTTTACATTTTGTTGATGTAATTGTCGACCCAAGAATGGCCATTTCCTGCTGCCGTCCGGCGACTGCAACAATTTCTATTTCACCATTCTACGATTTTACGATTTAACGATTTGGCAAGCATTTTGCTGTTTCACATAATGCCCCATGATAATGTTAATAATAATCACAGCAATAAATATAGTTATAATGCGGCAACAGGTGCGCCAATTTTCTGGCCAACATTGGCTGCGGCGTTGCCGCTAACGATGCCCGCACAGACAAATTTCGCCAATTGCTCCAGTTTTTCGGCTTCTTTTCTTTTCTTTTTTTTTTTTGGGTATTTCGTTATACCCTGCAGCCATATAAATGTGTTGTAAATAGGTATGCTCCAATTGTGCAGATGGACATCCTAGAAAGCCGAAAGACTTGCGTCACGCAATCGAATTTTGCTGCATACCCAGCATTTCCCTTATGTGCCGCAAATCGAGCTAAACGAATTCAAATTACAATTTGAAGAATTTAAAATAACTATCCAATAAGTATATACATATACTTGATAGGACTTTTAATCGAGCGACTTCCAATTTGCTTACAAAAAATATTTGTCCAAATCCTGTGCGAAACATGTGCAGCTCGGTGTGGAAATCTTAGGTTCCCTGGCGGAAAATGGGTGGAAAAATCATAGTTTGAATTGCAAGTCAAATAAAAATACAGGGAAATATATGTTTATATATCTATCCCATGGCGGAAAATGGGTGAAAGATTTATAGCTTTAATTTTAAGTAAAATCTAATATACTTACATATGCATATATCTAGGGTATGTCCAAGTCAAGCACCCTGGAAAAGCTGTTTAGTTTTTTTTTTTTTGTTTTTGTTGTGAAATTGGCATTTATTGGGAAAAGCTGATGTGCGGCCAGCGTGTGCGTGTGTGTGACTGGCCCCTCATTCGTTCGCTTGTGTGGTCCACCCACGAGCAGCATGACAAAGGGGGGGGGGGGGTAGACCACCCAAGGGCAGGGTTCATGCAATGCGTTAAGATGCTTATAAAAATGAAAAGAAAAAGAGGAAAAACGTAGGGGCATTTGGGTTGGAGAAGCACCTGGCTGGGGAAATTCAATGATTAATGATTGTTTGTTGTTGTTGTTGTTGTTGTTGTTTCTGGTGTCGTGCTTGTTGTTGTTGGCTTGTTGTCCGCATCGGATGTGGCAATCCTCAATCCCAATCACTCAATCGTTCATTTCAATTAGCCAATTACGCATGCCAATTGCCAATTGCCGAGCCAAGAGCCAAGAGCCAAGCCGAGAACTGACAATTACAGGCCGATGCCGTAATTTGCAGTTGCCGCCGCGCCAATTTGCCAAGTGGAGCAAGTGCAACGCGTTGCACGGAAGTTGCACAAGCACACAGAAGTTGACTCCAAGAACTGATAGCCACCCATCCCCCCCCCCCCTCCCCTACAGGTTCGCTCCAATGAAAATTGTTCGCATTGGTCAGTTACTAATTTGCGAGCGAAAACGGAAGTCGCCAGTGGCCAGTGTTTACTGTGCTGAGCGGCTGGGTGGTGCGCTGGGTGTGCCAAATCGGAAGTTCCGAGTGCCATCTCAAAGGGGGGTGGGCTGGGGGGAGTTGCATATTTTACTTCCGTTTTCGAGCAATTGGCCCTGCTGAAGGCACCGCCCGATCTCAGCATCAGCCTCAGCCAAAGAATTGAATTGAATACGAAAACAGTTTTCTTCCTGTCAGCGCTGCGGCAAGGGAAATGTTTCCTGCGCCTCGTCTTATCTATAATTAGAAGGAGAAAAAAAAAAACAGATTTGAAATATCAGAAGTTGCCTTTGAAGAGAGATCTCTTCTCATAGAAGTCAGCACAAAATATTTAGAATATGTTTAAAAAGTGGAAAACATTTGCTGAAAAGTTGTGAAAACTTGCCCAAAAAGTAAAATGTGTGTTACGTGGTAAGAAAACTTTCTGCAGTTTTTGAAAGTTATTATTAATTTAATTTAATGAACTTTTGCCGTTCAGATCTGGAAAGTGTTTAGCGTCATTTAGGCCTTTGCCGGCCAAAAGAGGCGTCTGTGGAATTTTTGAAGCCCCGGGTCAGGCTCATGTGGGGTCCCGTTTAATTGGCCCGGCCCCGTGGCCTAATGAATGTGTTTATGCGCACACAAAGGGCGGCATCTTTTGACCCGAATCTAAGTATGATTAAATGGGAGAACCGAGCGAGCAAATTGATTGAGAACCGTGCGGCAATCCAAGATTGATTCTGGAAATGGTAGCTGCGCGGATTTGGGCAGCGAATTGTGGGAAATATGATAAGCTCATTTGTTGTCGTTGGTTCGCTTTTATTTTTATCAGAGCTCTGCTCAAGCCCTTTCGTGCCCTGCGGCTGGAGGTCATGCAAATGTTGCGGCTGCTTTCTTAATTAATTTCCCGAGCCGTCACAATCAAACAGCTCGAACATTAATCGCTTCGGCCCGTTGCCGTTGCCACAAGCTGTAAATAAAAAAAAAAAAAAATACAAATAAATAAATATTAAAATTGAAAAGCTCAATAAATAACGACTCAGTCGTTTATTTATTACGGGCCAAAGCCATTCGACGCATATTTCGGGTCTGGCACGCGCCAAGCTTGTAAACAATTGCCCAGCTGCAAATATATAGATGAGCCCAGAGCCCAGATGGGGCATATTGGATTTGTGCGAATGTTCGACCACATAAGGCATACAGATTTATCGTGTCTTGTGTTTCTACGTGCCAGCTCATCTATTCATGATCATCTCCTACTCTTTCACTCTTTTCATTAAATCGATAAAAATGACACATTCTCAAGAAATATATTCTTGTGCTACGATATCTACACACATTTCCATGCCATATTTATGAGCTGTAAATTTCATCTAAATCGGACAATAGATAGCGAAGTTATTAAAGAATGTATATATGCATAATATGGGGAATGTCTGAAGCGAAACTCCGCGCTGGCTGCAGGATATCTGCTAGTCGAGCACAGCCGACTAGAGAACTCTGTATTGCCTACTGTTGCTGCACTTTTTTTTGTGCCTCTCTGCAGCTGTAACTCTCTCGTGTAACGCGATCGCAAGCCAATGACACCAGCAGCAGCAACAACAACAACAACAACAACTGCGCGAGATTCTTGAGAACTTTTTGCGCCTTTGCGGTTGGCCGTGGTGCCGTTTTCTAGCGGCACTTTGTCGTAGGCGGCTGATCACCGGCAGCCACACAAGTGCGAGACTCAACAGTGCCTGGAATTCCAGCACCCCTGCTACCCTCCCTCTCTTGCACTCTCCTCCCGCTCTCTCTCTCTCTCTCTCTCACTCGCCCGCAAATTTGCAATTTGCTTGCAATTGATAAGACAATTATTGTCGTGACTTTTTCGTTGATTGATATCTGCAGCTTTATCGGCGGCGCTCAACACGGCTCGTTGGTCTAGGGGTATGATTCTCGCTTCGGGTGCGAGAGGTCCCGGGTTCAACTCCCGGACGAGCCCAAAGCCTGTACTTTCTTTTTTATTCATATTTTTCAAATTCGATAATTTAATTGATGGCAAAGAAGCATTTTATGTTTACAATAATTGCATATCTGGAAAGTTTTGCTTTTATTTATGCGTAAAATCTAAGATGGGCTTTTGGGAGAGCAGCTTCCATTAAGGGGTATCTTCTAAAGAGCTGCTCATTCTTGAAGATTTTTAAACATAAGTGGAAAATTCGAAAAAAACGAATTTAAGATATAAATAAATACTTATATTAAACATTTATTTATAAGCTATGAATTGTTGAGTTCCTTTGCGATCGATTTTTTGATTGCAATCAAATTTATTTTGTTTTCTGTATAACTGTTTTGGCCCATAATAAGAGCTGTTGTGCTGCTTCTTTTGGGCATCGTCGGTTTGTTGTTGCCAAAATGATTGAAGCGTCAACGTTGTCAGCGATGCCTGCGATAATTTGGCCCAGTCAACGAGCCGCAGCGGGAAGAGAAAGAACCAGAGAAGCAAGAAGAAAAAGAAACAGCGGCAGCAGAAGAGTGACAAAAGGAAGTAGACACAGCAAGTGACTCACCTGGCCAGACAGGAAGTCACTTGCCAAAAAAAAAAAATTAAACGAAAACAAAACTGAAAAAGAAAATTTGGCCGTTCTGGTAAAGTAATTTGCGGGCGTGTGAATCGCGGTGGGAGAAGCTCTTAACAGAAGGGTCATCAGCTGTCGGTGAATGCCTGCCTCTGACTCAGACGAATCGACGACCCGGCTAGAAATATGACTAACTCCAGGCCTACTCTGAACTCCAGCTTTTTGTATAACCCTTGGCAGAGGGTATTATAATTATGCATCGAGATATGTAACGCTTAGAAGAAGACATCTCCGAGCTCATCGAGTATATATATTCTTGATTAGTATCCAGAGTTGAGTCGATATAGTCATGTCCGGCTGGATCGGACCACTATAGCATATAGCTGCCATAGGTAAGATCGGTCGAAGATGAGGTTCTTGTATGAGAAACTTTCTTTCTTATCTAGATATCTTAACCATGCTCGGCATTTAATTATTTTCCATGTGCTTCTTAGATACGAGCAAAGCATTATGAACAGGTCGGCTCTGCAAGGGTATTAAATCTTCGGCGTGCCGAAGATAGCGATTCTTTCTCATTTTTCTTTTTTACAAACGTTTTTTGAATGAGGCTTATTTCGTATTTGGATGAGGTCCCTAAACGATCTTCTTCTTTTTTTAAATCTCCCGACTGCAGCACACCTCCCACGACGAGGCACTGCTTGAGGAGAACGTCGAATAGAATTCCTCGTCTAGTAGAACTCCAAGGTATTTGCCGCTTCTGGCAGGATGAATGGGGAGCCACTGCACGAGCCTAGCCACGTCTCAGCTCATGGTTGACAGCCTGATCCGGCGAGCAACTCTCCATCTGATATGAATTGAAAGCAGAGTCAACTGTTTATGATCTTTATACCCTGTAAATGACAAGCAAGTGCACTGAACCATAGAGCTTAGAACTTGTTGGAGGATACGTTTAGCTGAGACGAGCTCTCTCTCCCCCCCGTCATTTGTATGACTGTGCTTGTGGTTGTTATTGCTGTTGAGTCAGGTTGTTGAATTTCCAGACTCGACACGCATGTGAGAAAGATGTCAGAATTTGTTGATACTGACGAGACTGAAACTCAGCTAGCCTCAGCCACAGAGCAGCGAGACGCATGCGCTGCTTGTGGGGCTTGTGCCAACGATGAAATTTGGCAAGACCTTTGAGACGCACCTGACCATCGAATGGCGGCAGCAGTACATGCGATATACGGTGAGCCAGTTGCGAGCACAACAGCGCAGTTTTTTTTTTTTTTTTTTGTTGTGTTCTAGTTAGCCCAGGCAGCTGGCAATCTAACAACAATCCGCAATTCCAAGGACCTGAAGACGCTGATACGGCGCGGCGTGGACGGTGCCCCAACGGGGGATGCGGTAAGCCAAGCGGAGCTCAATGCCTACTATGCCGCCTTCGAGGAGCAGTTCTTTACGGAGTGCCAGCACGAGCTGACACGGGTAAACAATTTCTTTCTGGAGAAGCTGGCCGAAGCACGCCGCAAACATGGCACACTCAAGCTGCAGCTGTTGGCAACGGCGCGAGCACCTGGCCACACCGCCAGCTCCTATTCCCTGAATTCGCAGCGGCCGTCGGCGGTGAGCGTGCGCGCGAATAGCAGCAGCAGCAACCGGAAGCTGATGACCCAGCGACAGCTGCGCAATGCCTATAGCGAATTCTATTTGACGCTGGTGCTGTTGCAGAATTTTCAGTCCCTCAATGAGACCGGCTTCCGTAAGATCTGCAAGAAGTATGACAAGCATCTGAGATCGACGCGCGGCGCCGACTGGATGGAGCGCAACGTTATCTATGCCCCCTTCACTGATCAGCACGCCCTCCAGCGCATGGTTGTCGAGGTCGAGGAGCTGTATACCCATTATCTGGCTGGGGGCGATCGATCGCGGGCGATGACCAAGCTGCGTGTGCCGCCCCTCGGGCAGCCGACGCCGGCGCGGATTGTTTTCCGTGCCGGTCTGGCTCTGGGCATGTTCCTTATGCTCGCGTTCACCACGCTCTTCAGCTGTGAGTCTCCACCACTTCACCTTCAACTAGCCAGTCCCTTTCATGCTAGCTAGGGATGTAAACAAAACGCATCGATGTATCGGGCTGCATCGATATCGATCGCACGATTAATCATGATCATATCGATCGCTTTTCGATAGTCATGATTTTGTTATCGATGTTAATGCAATCGTGATTATTCCGCATAGATATCGTCAAGTGCCTGTATTTTACCGAGACTCAATTTTGAGTAGCTTATCGATAGTTTTTAAGTTGATGATCCCATCGATCTTCGATTTTCGATACCTGAATAATCACGATTACGGAACGTGAACATCGATCGATGATCCGCTGTGATTAATCCTACCACAATTTCACATCTCTACAATATCGATCGATGATCGATTCTAATTATATCTTTTATCGATAGGTTCCACATTGGTGACCCTATCCACCCTATCAAACTTGCATCTCCATCAAGGAATATCGAACGATGTTCTTTACCGTTGACGCTTAATTTTGATAACTCTTATCGATAGGTTTCGCATTGGTGCCCCTATTCCCCTCAATTCCCAACAAAATAGCATTGTTCCTTCTGCTTTTTCGTTACTTGGTTAATCACAATCAGGGCATATCGATCGATGTTCGTTACCGATCGGTCGATATATCGATCGATGCATCGATGCATCGATATCGAGGCAGTGCGACTTACATCCCTAATCGCAACTTAACTTAACTAAAACGCAGTGCCCGTTCACGCTTAGACTTCCGGAGGCCGCCGGTGCAGGGAAACATTGAGGCGTTCATGCGCCTCTACCGTGGACCCTTTACCTGGGTGATATTTAACTTTTATATGGCCGCCAATGTGGCCGGCTGGCAGCGAGCGGGCGTCAATCATGTGCTCATCTTTGAGATCGATCCGCGCAGTCACCTGCAGCCGGCCACATTTCTGGAGATCGCGTGCACCTTTGGCCTGCTGTGGACGCTGTCGATACTGGGCTTTCTGTTCCACGATCTAATACATGTGCACGATCCGTTCGTCTTCCCGCTGGCGCTGACCCTGATCATGATTATGCTGCTGATCAATCCGCTGCCTATCATGAACTGGCCAGCCCGCTGGTGGACGATGCGGCTGGTTGGGCGCGTCATAACCGCACCGCTGCACTATGTGGGATTCGCCGACTTTTGGATGGGCGACCAAATGAACTCCCTGGTGACCTGCATGGCCGACTACTATTATATTGTGCGCTTCTATGTTGTCTGCTGGCTGCGCTATGCCAGCGTTGACTTCTGCTTTGAGGAGGACATGTTTGTGCCCATCTCGCGCTGCCTGCCCGCCTGGTTTCGCTTTGCCCAGTGCCTGAGACGGTTCCGGGACAGCGGCTCAAAGTCGGCCAGCTATCTGATCAATGCTGGCAAATATTCGACAACCTTCTTTGTGGTCTTCTTTTCGACAATGCGCGGACGCACGGATGGTACGGAATAACTGCTGGGTCCTTACCCGCCCCAATCTCAACCCGTTGACACTCACTCTCTGGCAGTTTTTTGTAGATGGCTATGCGAATACGTTTAGCAATCCGTACACCTGGTTCTTTATACTGAGCTACATTGTATCGACCATCTATTGCTATCTGTGGGACGTGTGCAAGGACTTTGGCATCTTCAAGATCTGGCGGGGTGAGCATTTGTTTTTGCGCGAGAAGCTTGTCTATCCGCAGGCCTTCTACTACTTTGTCATCATTGAGAATCTGATCCTGCGCTGCTTCTGGGCCGTCGAGTTTCTGGTGCTCTACCACAAGCTGATCACGCCCTACAACATCAAGACCTTTGCCAGCATCCTAGAGATCACGCGGTGAGTTAGCCTCAGGTTCCAGCTCCAGCTCACGGCTTTCTCTGTTCCGTAGTCGCTTCATATGGAATTATATACGGCTGGAGAACGAGCATTTGTATAATTGCGGTCATTTCCGTGCCACGCGCGACATCCATTTGGCCGCGCTCAATTCCCAGCAGGAGCGCATGCTCGAGAATATGATGGGCGAGCCAGACGGCGCTGCGCCCGGCACCGCCGCTGGCCGCAAGCCCGACGAGCGTCGTCGTCTGGGCAAGGAATACTTCTAGGTGCCCAAACGCAGCTGTTCCCGGTCTGTCATTCGCCATGCGCCATTCGCCATGCGCCATTCGACATACTCATGTGTGTGTGTGTGTCCATTGGCCCGTTTGCCGTTAATGTTAATGGCCCTCCGTCATCGTCGTTGTCATTTAAGCCACTTCTTTAATTAATTCATTTGTGCAAAAAGAAAAAGAAAATAAAATAAACGAACCCCCAGAGAAAGAGGAGCGCGATCGGGCATCGGGCATCGGGCATCGGGCTAAGCTGCGACACGCGCCAAACCGGTTGCACAGCTGCACCCAAATGCAGCCGGGCCAACAGACGCTCCTGCCCTGCTCCGTTCAGCTGTATTCGAGTAGCAATTGTCATTGGGACTGGAGCCAACGGATCTGGTTGTTGTGTAGATCTTTTAATTGCCGCCTTGCGCTTGTTGCCGTTGAGCTTTGATTTCGACTTCTCTCTTTGCCTTTCCATTTAATTAATGAAGCGATTAGCTGGCGACCGACTGGCCGAGAGGAGCCACTCAATTTATGCTGCCTCATCTGCTCGTTGCCCCAACTCATGTTTAAGATCATCATAAAAACACAAAAAACAACGACAGCAGATCCTCATTGCTGCAGCTTGTTCTCCGTCCACTTATCTCGTCGAGATCTCTTTCTGTTTTTTTTTTTTTTTTGTTTTGCTACTCAGCTACCCAAGAGAAACAAAAACAAAAATAAACTCTGTTTAGATTTAGATAAGTCTTGAAGGAAAGCTTTAACTAAATTGTATTAGCCTCAACTTTGGGCACCTTATCAACATTTGTCATGATTTCACTTGATTTTTCTCGCAATAATCAATTATCGATAGCTGATTGTGACCATGTCCTTTATCAAATATCAATTATCGATAGCTGATTGTGACCATGTCCTTTATCAATAGTTTTCGCGAGTAAGGTTTAATAGCCACGATTGGGGTACTTATATTAATATATATTGATCGATGCTGCATATATCGAAATCCATCGATCTGTCAATCAATATTGCCTCGTACGATTTATCGACTATCGATAATATGTATAAAATCGCATAGCTTATGCTAGATTAGACAAATCATGTTAAAAATGTATACATATTTGTTCAGTTTGGTTAGTTCGTATTCTGGGAAGGGCATTTACTAATTGAAATTAAATAATTTTGGGTCGAAACCAATGTTGAGGTCAAAAGCAATGATAGATGAGAAACCAAACCCAAAAGGAGGATCCGAATTGTTTTTTTTGGGAGTGGGAAACACATTCGAACATTTCTATGTTCATTTGGGTCGGGTCGGTTTCAGGGTAGATTAAATCAAAATTGTTAAGCGTCTTTGTGTTTGGGTTTTTATTATTTATTTATTGTTGCCTGACTCTCAAGGATTTGTTTGTTTGTGTGTGTGCGTGAACGGGAATGCGCAGATAATCGCTTTATTGACTCTGACTCGGGTTATTTGATAGTCCTTCATTCAATGGAAGCTCTGTATGTTTAATGCTGTCTGCCGTTTTGATGCTAAGCCAGATCCCATTTCAGATATGAACACTGTGCACTTTCAACTGAACTCTGACCTGCTAATGGCTTGACCCTAACTGGTCGCAAACAGGTTCAAGTCCTGGCAACAGATGCAGTTGAGGATGACACTCCAATTTGGGGAACTGGGACTGAGACCAAAGCTGAGACTGGGACTGAGACTGAGACTGGGATAGAGACTGGCACTGGAATAGGAACTGATGAAGGGACTGAGACTAAGACTAAGACTGAGATTGAGATTGAGACTGAGATAGAGATAGAGACTGGGACTTGGACTGGGATAGGAACTAGGAAAGGCACAAAGACTAAGACTGAGATTGAGACTAACACTAAGACTGAGACTGAGACTGGGACTGGCGTCTGGCCTGCCAATTTATCTGTCACTCGAGTCGTTTTTCTGCTGCTTTCATATTTGACTTGGGCACGAGGCAGACATAAATTTGCCATCAGCATTGCCGTTGTTGTTGCTGTGGTTGTTGCTGGTAATGACAACTGCAATTTATGCTGCTTGTCGCGACAACAGCGGCAACTATGGAGCTGCCAGGGGGCAGGCGAGGCAGGAGGACAGGATGTGGCAAGTGCTGTGTACAGTTGCCGCTAGATGTTGCCAATGCTGTTGCCGCTGCTGTTGTTGTTGCTGCTGTTGTTGTTGTTGTTGTTAATTGTTGTCGTGTGTCGTCGTCTTTTCTGTTCTTGTTGCCAGAACAACAACAACAACAACAGTGGCCAACTAACTGGGCTGACTGCGCGTGCAATATGCCAGGCAGATATTGTTGCTGATGTCGTTGTTGTTGATCTTGGTACAGTTTGCTGCACACGCGCCAAAAGCGGAGCAAAACAAATAAACAAACAAACAAACCAGTCCAAAGATAACAAGCAACTAACAAACAAACAAATCCAGTCCAATCGAAGCCAACAACCGATCAGCTCCGACTCCGGCTACAGCTCCGACTTCAGCTCGAGTTCGAGGGCCTGGCCAAACAAGGCGTTCCGCGTTCGGCGTTCGGCGTCCCTGTTCAATTGGAAATGGAAAATTGCAGCTTGGCCACATAAATGACGCAATTTTCGCAGCAAAAGTTGTCAACCTCAAGACTGACAAGCAACAGGTGTTGCACGCCTGCCAAATGCCCTGTAATCCGCTTTAGGTTCGACTTGAATTTATAGCTAAACATCTGCTCTATTGCTAGCAAGACATATTATTAGTCAAATCGATACGAAATACTGTCTTGTATTGCATGGCTCGGGCATTATGCAGTATGTAGACAGCTAATTTTAGTAAATGAACTTAGATTTAGCTGGATAGATGAACATGTTTCCCACAACATATCAAGATGCCTGAAGATCGGACAACAAGCGCCGAAAAAGACGCCTCTTTCAGTATGAGACTGAGGAGAGCAGAAGTATAGAAGGAGGACAAATAAGCTGACTGTAAGGCTGCTCTCACAGGGTATCTCTTGGTCGGGCACTCCCGTCCCTCTCGTTTTATTTTATATGCATAAGTTGTAGAAGAAGCTATTTCAAAATAAAGTTGCCTAGCCCTAACAATCTTGTGCTAAAAATCGATATTTATCGATTTTGTGAAACTAATTTTTAAGAATTTGAGAAACTGGACCGGCAATTTCTTTCATACTCATTTTTTGTATTATTATAATTTATTAGATATTTCTGTTATTATAAGTTTATTCCGAGTTGTCTCTCAGAATTCCAGAGAAACTTAAAGCATAATTTATTTGCTTGATTTGAACGTAATGGAAAAATTTCGTTAGCTGAGAGATAAATGCAAATTTGATGAATATGGGAAAATCATGCTGACGGGCCTCATAAGCCGCGCGCCCTCATATCATTAATTGGGCGACCATCTTTTTCGAATATTTCTTTGAATATTTTTTTGTTTTTTTTTTTTATTATTATCATTCGACTCTCGCTCATGAATAAATTAACGAAGGCGTGAATATTTAGAAGTTTCTACAAAAAAAAAGCTCAAGCTACTTTCTTTATATACACATTTTTTTTCGGAGAACAAACACAGCGCTGGACAGAGATTGTCAAGTCTGCTGCATTTCTGCTTCAACAACAACAACAACAACAACCGCAGCAGCAGCAAGAAGAAGAAGAAGAAGATGAAGAGGAGAAGCAGCAGCAGCATCAGAAAAGGTCTCAACTGTTGTCCAAAGTCCAACGACTATTTTTGGTAGTCGGACTTGGGCCGCAGTTAAAGCCCTTTTTTGCAGCAGAGCTGAGCTGGGCTCGTGCTAAATTTAGCCAGGACGCGATGCAGGAGCCGTCCACATGCCAGACAACATGCAACACACACACACACACACACACACACACAGACACAGACACACACTTGGTTGTGCGAAACGAGTTTTGCGCTCCTTTTCCTGGTTTTTCTCCAGCTTCTCCAGCTGCCGCTTGGCCAGTTGAGCATGCGGTCCTTTCCCTGCTGCTGCAGCTGTCTCTCCAGCTGGCCGCAGCACGCGTCTGTGTCCCCCCCCCCCCCCCATCCTTTCTTGCCCCTTCACCTGGGTTCTTTCGGTGACAGCTCGCAAGAGATTTGGCAGACGCTGCTCATAAATTTATGTGGCAGTCATTTGATTGCCCGAAGACTGCAGACTGGCGACTGGAGACTGCAGTCCGTTCGAGCCATATATTCTTGTGCTTCTTATTCTTCTTCTTCATCTTGCTGCTGTTAATTTGTGCGCATAAATTGTCCGTGTGGTAAGTTCTGAGCTGAGCTGCCACCGTTGGCACGGACCGGACCTCACCTCAGCCTCACCTCAGGCTCAGGCTCAGGCCTCGGCCTCAGCCGAAAGCTGCTTAATTTGTGCAGCTGCGCGAATCGCAATCAGCAGCAGATTTGGCATCATATTTTATTTAATTAATGTGTTATCTTACCGAACGAACATTCGGCATATCCCGCAAGATATATTCAATAATTGCCCAAATCGAAAAACTACAAATTCTCTGCACAAATCAAGCTTAAACGTTTTTGCTCAGCTCCAGCTCTGAACTTTCGCAAAATTCGAGGAAATGAGCATCTCGCTGGAGAACCCTTAGGTATGCAAAGTCTTTCGAAAAGTATTTTGTGCTTAATTCCTTTGTCCTTGCAACACTCTTAAAAGCTAGATCAAAGTTGAAATATATGTTCCGTAGACTCAGACTCTTCTTCTATTTCCTAAATATCGATCACATGATTTGGTTTTTAAAGATCTTAAGAGCTAAATTACACTAAAATGTGTAGATTCTCCATTATTGTATAGAAAGCTTCAAAATATTTAAATTCCGATAATCCCTTTGCTCATACATTGAAAAAAGACGACTTTTTAAAGTTAGAACCTGGCGCCTTGGTATATACACACTTTTGTCTGTCATATTTATGATTTGTTAAGTTCATAAGAATTGGACTGTAAATACCAAAGTTGGGCAAGAATCGTATCCTATATAAAGGATGTGGGGCTAAGCGAAGAAGAAGCACAATCGCTAGTGACCTGCGTGCTTGTGCATGTGTGTGACATGCGTGTGTGTGACATGCGGGCGTGACATGCGTGTGTGACATGCCTGTGCATGCATATGTGTGTGATTTGTTGCATGTATGCAGCAAAGGTAATCCCCAGTCGGGCACACTCGCTACGAAAAGTGTTTGGCCCGAGAGAAATTTGACAATTACTTTGTGGCCAAATCTGGCGGCAGCAGCCATGGCCATGGCTTGTTGGGTGGGCGTGGCAGTTGTTGCGCCCATTTTAGAGCGTTTGGCAGCCACACAGCAGCTCATTATGGTTTAGGCTGGATGCATTGTTGGGCACTGGCATGCAAAATTGCAAATTATGTGCTGCAAACTCAAGCGGACGAAATATGAAATGATTGCGCTGGGCGGCGGTGGGCGTGGCTGTGGCTAGATCAACGCGAGGCGGTCGACAAGTGCAAATTCGGTTGCGAAAACGAATTTCAATTTAATTAGCCAGGCAGGTGACTCGACTATACGAGTGTGTGTGTGTGTGTGCAGCTTGAAGAATGCCAATGTAATTGCAACAAATTGTTGCCAGTGCGGCACGACAGCAAAACCAAAAGCAACAGCAAAAGCATAAGCAACTGCGACTGCAAAATTATGATAATTGACAACAAGTCGAATTGGCAGACGCGATTGCAACATTCTTGCACACACACACACACACACACACACTCGCACACACATGTGTGTGTTTGGTCAGAGTTAAGTATAGTATCCATATCGACATCGGGATGTGGGCGGCGCAGGAAGCACTCGTCGGGCTGGCCATTTCCTAGAATATGAAATGCTCTTGCCACACACAAAAAGGCGACATTCCTGCGAGTACAGTGAACGCCCCAATAACGGACAGCGCCAAGCGAAGCAACCAAATCCAAAGCTGAAAATGACTAAACAACAAATGGGCAGAGCTTAAAAAAAGCTAAATTTGCTAGAATCGCAGCTGAAGTCCTCTCCAGAAATTGCCCATCCAATTCCCGCTCTGGCCGAAGCAGCATTATGTCTCCTGCTTGGGCAACTCTTGAATGTCCCTCTCTCTCTCTCTCTCTGGATGTCCTTTGGTACCCAATACCCAGACGAAGCTGTTTCCCGCTCGGAATCGTTTATTCCCCTGACTTGGCCTAATCGTGGCCAGAAGTTCGCCTGCCTGCTCGCTAGGATGTCTCCCCCGCCCCGCCCTGAATCTCTTCAGACGCCTTCTACATAGATACAGCTCCCTCGGCTCGGACCGCGAACGAGTCATCTCTCGTAGAGTTTTCACTGTAGCTTCAGCCCAAGCTGTCTAAAACCTTGGATCTGTGTTGCTTTTTAAGTGCAGCATCTTCGGCGCAGAGCTGCGGGCAAGTCTGCGTCGCAAAATGCCAGGGTCAAGTCAGTCGGAGTTGGATTTGGAATCAAGAAAAGAGCGAAGAGATTTGCCCAAGCGGATTTGCTGGCTACTGTGCGACTCTCTCTCTCTCTCTCTCTCTCACTCTTTGTGTGTGGAGATGCTGTGCGTGTCTGCCCGAAGGAGCGCAAGTTTGTTGCCACAGTCTTTTGTTTCGCTCCGCTGACTGCTAATGATAAAGTTCGGATCGCACTTGGATGCTGCTCGCTCTGCTCTAATCTTGCCTTGCCTTGCCTTGGCTTGCCTTGGCTTGGCTTGGGTGCGCGCTGCCTTTTGGCGCGCAATTTGAGGAAGCTGCGCGCCTGACTGCCCCAAGTGGCACATAAAAAACGCGCAAGCGCCAAAAGAAGCCAACCGCCAGACGAGTACAAGCCTCTCAGCAGCTCGGCTTCCCAGCTAATGGGGCATGAAAACAACAAAAAATACAACAACAGCAAAAAAACAAAGAACGCATTGCAAAAAAAAAAAAAAAAAAAATGATAAAAAAGTCAACAAGTAAAAGCGCGCAGCTCGACTGCGACATACTCTGTTCACAGCTGCTCGAAAAGCGGCGACTTTAAGACTGTAAGCCAATGGCTTTCAAACTGTGCATAAATGTGATATGGCATATATATGCAAGTATATATTACCCGTTCGTTTGCTTAACTATTCCATTGTTTCGGCAAATTCCACTCGCATGCGTGGAAAATTCGTACTTTTTTGTTTACCATCAAATTGCCCTCATATTCGATTTCAAAGATAATAAATGCCACGGGCAAGGCCGGGTAATAACTGCTACAAGTATATATGTACGTGAATATAGTTCTTTAAGGCGGGTCAAAAGCCAACATACCTTTTTTCGCTCTGTGTGCAGGGTATACTCAACCGCGGCCAAAAGTAGCCAGCTGCCCCCCCCCCCCCCCTCCCCCCCCCCCTCTCTCTCTCTCTCTCTCTCTTCGTTGTGGCTGTTTGTTTGTCTGTTTGCTGGCTGGGGGCCCCTTGACGCAACCTCAATAACAATATTTTTGTTCGTTTTCTCGTTTTCGCGCGAGTTTCTAGCTTTTTGGGCTGCTGCTGCCGCGCGCGTTGCACGTTGATTTTGAAAGCCAGACAACAGCTCAACAAGCAACAACAACAACAACAACAACAAGAATAAGAAGAACAACAACAGCAACAAACGACAAAACTCGTTAAGTCTGTAAACGTGTTTTCTACCTTTTCTCTTCTTACTTCATTTCTTGTTGATCTTAGCCAGCGCTCAATGGCCGCCATTTTGTTGGGTTCGAAGCGGCGGGCAAGCCTCGGCTGGCAGCTCGCTGCTGCGACATTTCTGGTTTTCGAACTGCGGGCAAGTTGGCAACACCACCACGCAATTGGCCCCACACAGAAAGTTCATTTACTGGTCTGGGGAGCATTTCGATTCGAGCTTGGAGAATATTTCCCTTGCCATTGGGGAAATGCGCTCGCGCTCTCGCAGCTCTGTTCCGTTCGAATTGTCTTGAGATTCGAAAACGTCATCGACTCATTCGAAAACGTCATCGACACTTGGTTGTTTATTTTGTCGTTTAATCTATTCAAAATAGATGACACCTATTGCAACACATGCAAAATATTAACATATATATAAAGAAGCATTAAATGCCTTAATTATGCAACCGCATATAAATGATATGCGCCATTAATATGCGCGCTTAAAAGCAGGCAGCACTTGTTGCACAAAAAAACTCAACTGCTTAGTCTGGACAACAACCAACGTTGAGAATTTCCCCAAGTGCCTTGCACAGATACACAAGTTTGGTACTTTTGCGCTCTCTCAACGCTCGACAGGGCAATTTGTTTGTTCGCCCGAGTCGCTGCTCGGCCTGGGAAATTAGCGCGCCGCAGTGTTGCGCACGCTCTCAAGATCAACGGACGCTCTGTCGCTGTCGCTGTCGCCGTCGCAGTCGCAGCCACAAACAAGCGCTGCTTTTGTTGTTTTCACACATTCTCTTTTATTTTGATTTGTTTATTTGTTGGCATTCTTTTTTTTTCAAGTGAATTACAAAAAAATAAAAGGAAAACCCGCTGACACAAAACGAAACTGAGCCCCAAACAAAACTGTGACAAATTGTAATCACAAAAAAAAAAAAAAAACAAAAACTAAAACAACAAGAAAAAAGATCGAGACAATAAAAACTCTTGAGCGCGCTTTGTCGCTCTTCTCTGTGTCTGTGTGTCTGTGTGTGTGTCTGTGTCTCAGAAGAAGTTCGAGCTAAGCGCAAGCTGCTCAAAAGCAAACTCTAAATACGAACAGGTGCAAAATATAAATAAATTTGCAAAAAGCAAACAAACAAAAAAAAAAACACAACACTTTGCCAGGCAACAACAGTTGCTTCGAGAAGAAGAGGAAGCACAGTTTGACAAGGGTAAGGGTTGTGTCTTCTTCCCTCTGAGCTTCTTCCCCTCATTGCGGAAGTAGCCGGCGCAAAAGCCCAGCCCTAACGACAGCGAGCCGCGGTCGACGTCGTCGTCGACGTCGACGTCTCCTTCTCCGTCGCCATGTGCTAAACGCAAGCAGAAGAAGAAGAAGAAGAAGCAGCAGCAGCAACAACAGCAATTAGCACAAATGGATACGGTTGCCATTAAAACAGCGCCGCCGCATGCGCCACTTGCCACGGCTCAGCAGCAGCAGCAACAGCAACAACTGCAACAACAACAACAACAACTGCAACGTCAGTCATCGAATTCGCCCGCAACAATTGGCGATAATGTCTACAACAACAAGAACAGCATTGGCGCCTTCTTTCAGACCTGCAAGGTAAGCAGAAAAGAAGAAGCAGCAGCAGCAGCAGCAAATTTCTATTCACCATTCTTAAAACACTTGAAAACAGTTATTGCCCAATGTTGTTGCTGGTTCAGTTAACGGTTCGAACCAACATTCGGAGTTTCATAAGTCAGATTTGTCGCAACTAGACCCAAACTGACTTGGTTCGGTTCAGGGCTTGCATACAATTGGCATTCGAACCGGTTCGGTGCATAACTTTGATAATCATTTGGGCGAGCACCAATTCAAGTTTTGAACCAATTCTGTTGAATAAGCTTTAATATTCCATATAAAAACATTATTTAGGGTCTATTTAGCTCTAAGTTCCGGGCTCTACTGTACTGCAAGAGAAAGAGAAAGAGTGGGAGAGGTAGGGCAATGCCTGTCAGAAACCAATGAAAAAAGCATTTCTCAAATAAATTGTCACAATTACGCGCTTTATTTACAACAACAACAACAACAACAAGAACAACTCGCGCTGCAAAAGAAATGGAAAATTCGAATGCAGTTGACAAAAGCGGGAAAATGGAATATTTTACAAAAATATTCTCTTCTGCATGCTTGACGAACACTTTAATTGCATTGTCACTGGGCAGGGGGGAGGGGCATGGGGCGAGGGTCGGTCGGGCTTGTTTACGGGCTAACAGGTGCCCAGGGGGAAGGGTGAGCGGGTGGCACCTGTACTTGACATTTGCCATAGGCTAGATTAAATAGATAATACACGAGAATTCATTTAAATAAATACAAATTATTTGGGTATATTTGGGCATATGGGAAAATACTCTTTAATCAAATTACGAGAGTGTGCTCTAGTCTGCCCGGCTAGCAGATACCTCGTACTATTGCCTTCGATGCCTCTTAGCTGCCTACCAGGTTTCCTTTAGTTCACTTCTCTCAGCACACAGAGAGGAGTCGAGTGAAGGCTGCCTTCTGCTGCCTCCACTTGCTCGGCATGCCCATCTACGCCCATTTTGTACAGGGTACAAAAGTCAGCGGGACAAGAGTTTTCTTTGTTTCGGTTCGCGAGCGTCGAGCACTTGAAGAGAGACACACACACATTTTGTTTGCACCGGAAATGTAACAGAGAATTCAACAAAAACACATGAAAGATTGTCACTTGTTGAACCCTGTACATGTGTGTGTGTGTGGAGTATATTGGCTAGGCGAGCAGCGAATCTTACTCAGATTCGTGTTCGTATATATTTAATAGAGCAGAGGGACAGAGGGCGCCCACCCAAGGGTTAAACAGACCTCTGCCACTGCCTTTGCCCCTGTCTGACCAACTGCTTCTGAGGTTTTTGGCCACATTATAGTCTGGGACCTTACATAACGAAAGCGCGACCATAACTATGCATAACTGCGACTATTGCCATTGTTTATGCGAGTGTGCGTGTGTTGTTTAACGGTACAGCAAGTGTTTAACAAGCAGCAGCACATTGCGAGGGTTGCTCGAGGCTCGCAGCCGAAAAAAAAAAAAAAAAAACAAAAAAAAACCCAAAGTCTTTCAAATGCGCCCTTGAGCCGCAGACAGACAGACGGAAAGGAAAGAAAGGGAAAACTCTCGGAAAATAATCCTGAGAACTGAGAACTTAATAATAACAGCAACAACTGCAACAGCAGGTAGTTAGCTGTTTATTTGTTGTACTCTATTTGCGATGTAGAAAGGGTATATTGGTTAGCGACAAAATTAGCTGCGAAAACGGAGGCATAGCTGGCCGGGCATACCCTGAGCCCTCCTCTACCAGCTGCAAATGCTGATCGCGCTTGGCCAAAGCTAGAAATCGAAAGATACTTCAGAAATATATACTAAGCAAGAGGCTACATGTCAAATTTGCTGACTCTAGCCATTAAGACCCAAGAGATTTGCGAACTGGGCCTACACCAGGCGGAGCTACGCTCTATAGTTCAATCCTCTCTGAGATTCCGGCGTGCAGACAGACGAACGGACAGGCGGACATGGCTAGAACGACTCGGCTATTGATGCTGCTCAAGAATATATATACTTTATGGGATCGCAGATGCTTCGTTCTGCCTGTTACAAGCATTGACACAAATACATAATACCCTGTTGCCAGTTGAAATGGGCATAAGAAACTTAATAACAGCCCAGCCGGCATCCGCCAGACTTCTTGTCCATGCACCCTTCCCACAGAATCCTTTCGCATTTCCCGCTCAAAAACCTTTGGCCGTCCCATTAGCGTGTCGATCTAGGCAACTCTGTCTACGCCAATTGTGAACAGAGTATTTTGTTGCAGTCGGCTTTGCCGCTTGCTTTGCGCTGCTTGTCTGAAGTCTTCTTTTGTTAGCCTGACCAAATGCACTTCACGTCGCAGCCACCCGCTGCTTGTGCAACTCTCCCTCCCTCCCTCTCTTCCCCTCTCTCTCGAGCTGTCTCTTTCTGCTTGCGCAAACAAGTGAGAGAAAAACTGAACTGCAAATTCGTCTCATTTCTTTTGTCGCGAGCTTCGTTTAACATTTAATTGAATTTTCCGCGGCTGCCTTTTAACTTAATTATGTCAGTCAACGTTGCAGCACACACACACACACACACACACACACACACACACACACACACACACACACTGCGAGCAAGTGTTATTGCTTATAATTTCAATGCGGCGCAAAAGTAAAAAAAAAAAAGTGGGAATATATAATCCAGCGCATTTGCATTTTGTTTGTTATAAAAAGCTTAAATGGAATATTCGAAACGATTTTATGCTAAATTGATGCGATGAATGCTGGGTAAGGGGAAGCGGGAGGGGGGTAAGGGGTAGAGGTAGACTTGTCACTGCGAGCGACAACAAATATGCGCAGCTGGGCGACGACAACAAATTCATGCACAAACATATCAATAATAACAACAACAAGAAGAAAAAGATAAAGAAGAAGAACAACAACAACAACAAGTGCGGCCTCAGCAACAGGTTGAGCATAAATTATGACCAAAACCAATTTCTTTGTTGTTGTTGTTGTTTTTTGCCTAATTTACAATTTTTTGTTTTCAATTTATATTTTTTCTTGCGTTGCTTTGGCCAACTTTTCTTCTGCTTCTTCTTCTGCCTCTTCTGCTTCTCGTTGGAAGGGAAATTCGGCGCCTTGGCAACTTTCACACAGTTTTCGGACATTTCCGCAACAGCAACAAGAAATTTGATTGAATATTGTTTTTCTTCAATTTCCAATTGTTTTTGACTTAGCACCAAGGTCCTGGCCAAGTTTGTCGCCTAAGTCTTTTGTTTTGGCACCCAAAAAGTTGGTTATGCAAACCAAAAATAATGTCAAAATGTGAACAGAAATGAACGCCATTGAAACGAAGGCAGATGAAAGATGGAACATGGGAACTGGGCGAGAGCACAGCTCGTGCCCAACTTGGGAGAGCAACTGCGATGGGCTTGCTGTTTTCACATAATTAATCCACATCGATGTCACATTGACATGCCCGAACCAGATCAAGACAAGAGGAAGTCGTTAACGCAGCGAACGTGTGTGCGTGCAAATAATATGCCCAAACAAGATTTGGCTAGAAATGTGCCCAAAAGCGAAGCGCCTACAGCTCGAGTCGTTAGCACGTGCTAAATGCCACGCCCACGCATTAGTTAACAACAACGAAATGTGGCCAATTAATGCGAAGCATTTAATTTAGTTTAGTTTCGGTTTGGCTACAAATTTGATCAACTGACGCATGGGCGGGCGGACGGCGCCCACGCTCAAAAGCCAACGGGCCGAGCGAGCGGAAGTGCAAGTCGAAGCATGACAAATGCCGCAGCTTGCCTACGCGTGCGTGTGTGTGTGTGTGGGCGTGTGTGTGTGTGGGCGTTTAGCAATAGCCAAAACAATGACCAAAGCTACATGCGAGCAGCCCAAATGACTTCAGTTTCAAGTGTGAAAGGCAACCAAACCGAAGCGAGCCGAGTCGAGTGCGTAACTGCGTCAATGTGCATGAACTGAAAGAAAGAGATAAACAAAGAGATAAAGATAAAGATAAGCATAGTTAAAATAATAGAGCTTGAGGCGCCAGTGAAAGCTGGGCAGAGCCTGCAGACACTTTTTTGATCAGGGATTCGCCTTTGGAGTCGAGCTTATAAAATCACAATAGAACATGAAGTAGATTTGCAGCTTCTACTAATATATTTATTTAGTGTATCCTTAAAGGAGTTCAGACTTGGCCTTGGCTCCTCAGTAGACTCTCCTTGTAGAAGTTATTCCAAGACAAAGGCAAAGTTAAAGTAAAAGAGCCTTAAGAGCTTTGTTCCTTTGTTTGTTTATTCCCTTGAAATGTTTCCTTAGGGAAGTTCAGACTTGGTTCTGGATATCCTCAGCAGGAGCCTCAACTTCTGGACCAGCTCATCCTAATAAAGCATGGACAAGATCTTTGGCTTCTACTTGCATATTTCTACTAAAATTCTCCTGTTACTCCTCTTACTCCTCTTCTATGAAATATTGCCTTAGACTAGGCTCTGCTCTGTCTTATTCCGTTTGCAGCTCGAATAATCTTGTTTTTCGTTTGTCTTAGCTGAAAACTGGCTCGTGCCAGTCGAGTCCAATCTAGAATCCCTGCAGCTGTGCATTTTGGCTGCCCAAATCTTTCTCAGTGTGTGTGTTGAGAGTTTGTGGCTTTCAACCAGTTTGGCGATTATCTGTCGAGCTTAGCTTGAGCTTGAGTTGGCAGTTGCTCCAGTTCAATTAAATGGAACGCCGCTGCGTTAGACGCGTGTCACGTGGAATTGCGTCGAGCGTCCGTTGCAGGGAACGGAGACGGCTTTCATTTCGCATAATTAGCTGGCCAGACTGATGGCCGATCTCCTTCTGGCTGCTGCCAAGTCATGACTCATGAGTTGAACTCTGACAGCAGCAGCAGCAGCAACAACAACAAATGCGAGACGAAACGAAACGAAACGAAACAGACAAAAAAAAAAAAAAAGATCAAGAGTCGAGCTAGGCGGGTTTCGGTTGTCGGTTGTTTTTGGGGCCTTACGTTTTGCTACTTGGCCCGACTCGACTTGGCTTTGATCTGCTCAGCTCCGCGCTGACTGCGGCATATCTTTAAATGTGTTCAAACCGGCTGCGGCCGCAAAGCTCGGCAACAAATTCGTTGTGTTTTCTGTGGCTGGGCAACATTTGTGGCCAGCTACAAAACTGGTTTTCGTTTTGGCCACAAAACTCTTTGCCCACTTGGCTTCTCTTGAGTCCAGCACACACACACACACACACACACACACACACACTCGCACACACTCTCGCACACACACAGAGAGAGATCTTTGGCAAGATGGCGTCGCGGCAACCGGTTTAAGGCTTTGCCTTGCCTCTTGTTATACACACAGAGATTTTGTAGAGATTTGCGCGTGTGCCCCTGTGGCTGCCCTCCACATGTCTACCCTTACCCCTCACCCCACTCTCACAAATATCTAATGCTTTTTTTTCTTGTTTCTCGCGATCTCTTTGCAGGTCTTGTGGCACCTGGACGCCTTCCGACGCTCGTTCCGGAGCCTCAATCAGCACGTTTGCGGCGGCCAAGATTGCATTTTCTGTGCGCTGAAGGTAAGTGACAATGCTAAGCTAAGCGCGGCACTTTTCGATATTCGCTTTAGTCTGGACACGAACCAGACACTTCTAATTAATTTTTGGCATTGCAAATGGTTTCCCATTTAACATTTAAATATATTCATATGATTGTTTTTTGCAGCTTTAACTTAATTAAGCTATTGATTTTATATTCTGTTTAAGAATTATAAGTAAATATTTGTTACTCGCTTGATTGGCAACAAGTATATATGTATATATATACTCGTATATGCCCGCATCGTTTAAAGCGCAGCGATCACACTGTGAACAGAGTATAGGACAGTCGATTTTTGTTGCTTTAATACTAGATTCCTTTAGATACACACAAATATATACATTTTATACATATTTATAAATTGTATATTAAAAAGTGCTTTGCAGCTTTTTATTTACTTTTTAATGAGTTTAAAAATATGTGTTGCCTACTTTTAGCTGCTGGCAAAATTACTTTGCGCTTGAAATTGGAAAGTGAACAGAGTATTGCGCAGTCGGGAGCAACGTTCTTGATTGCTTCCTATATATACATATAAGCTTATATATTATGTAGTTATATATTTTATATTATAAAGTGAATTTTAGCTTTATATTCATATAAAATTGAAATTGAAAAATTTGTATTGCCTACTCTTAGCTGCTGGCAAAATTGCTTTAGGCCTCAAATTGTATTGCGTGCTTTTAAACGCAGCTCAAAAAAAACTGAAAATAAAGCAATTAAATGCCCAGGGTCAGTCAGGCACTTAGACAGCTAGACAGCTAGACAGACAGACAGACAGACAGACAGGCGGACGGACGGACGGAGCGTAATTTTCCCAGTGTCTGGCCGTCTGGTGGTCGCGTTGATTTTTCCTGCGCCGCTTGTACATTTTAATTGCCGCGACGCCTTTCGTTCGTCCGACAGTTGCCAAATCATTTTTTCACACGCACACACAGATTGCGCGGCTCGTCAGTATCAAGTGCGTGTTTTTCCCATTTTCATTGCACGAAAATTCCCACAACTGGCCTAGAATCCCGCACCATTTGTCTAGCTGCATCTGCATCTGCATCTGCTGCGTCTTCCAGTTTTTTCCATTGCACAGAGAGACAAATCAAAAAAAAATAAAAATAAAATCTGTCACCTATTCAGCTAGCCGAACAAGTAAAACAGAGAACATGCTGCTGCTGCCTGACTTGTACCTGTGCCGCTGCCTTTGTCCTGGGCCACGCCCCATTAATAAGGCGTGAGCATGTCCTGCGTGAAACTTTAATTGACCGCTTGATTAATGTTGAATGCGTGCCCGTTTAGTGTCATGTTCAGTTCTCACCCAATTATGCAAATAATGCTGGCCAGCCAAAACCCACCCCCAATCCCAGTGCAAGTTTGTTGCTGCAGTCATTCGTTTTGGCCCCTGACACGCAAAGAAGTCAATAAACTTCTGTTGCAGCCGCAGCGTATCCTCCTACTCCTAACAAATTTCCATAAAATGAAATCAACTTTGGAAAAAAGGCAGCAGCAGCAGACAAAGATGAGGCTGGAAAAGCGCTTGGCCCAGGCAGCAGCTACAGCTTCTTCTTCTTTCTCTGCTGCTGCTGCTTCTTGTTCGTGCTTCGTGTTAACCCGTAGGCAACAGGCAGCTCGACGACGACGTCGCTGTGGAAAACTCAGCGCCTTCGCCTTTTGTGACGCGACTGTACTTTTCGTGCGGCTCGCAGCAGAGCACAGGGTGTTTATCAGTTAACAACTCCTGTGTGCGCTCGCTCTCTCTCTCGCTCTCAGTTGATGACGTCGCTGCTTGTTTGGCAGAAGTGGAAAGTGTTCCCCCCGCCTCCCTTCCCCACTTCACCTGGCTTTGCTCTTCTGCTTGTTTGTTTGTTTGTTTTGACTCTTTGTTTTCTTGTGAGCCCTCTTCTATACGTTCTCTCTTGCCGTTCTTCACCCGATCCGCCGGTTGTCAAAGAGCCGTCGACTCCTCACTCGCCTTTTTCTGTTTGCTGCCACACATTAAACAACAACAACAACAACTGGCAACTGGCAACTGGCAACCCCTTTTTTGTCGTTTGTTTCTGTCTTTGGGTTTGCATTAATTATGTTTCTGCCCTTTTCCACTTGTTGCTGCTAAATTAATTGAAACTCCCTGCCTGCCACGCTCCCCCTCTCTAAATCTAAACTCCCACCCATTGGCATGCAGGTTCCCAGCTGCCAGTTCTGGCTTCCCAGTTTAATTATGAGCAACAGCTTAAAGTTGAAGAACTAGCCGTAGAGGAAGCCGTCTCCAAGACATTGGCCCTCTGAGAAACTCCCACGCGATGGCTGTAAAAAACAATTCAGATCGCAGTTCTGGATCTCTCTCCCCTCTCCCCTCTCCCCCTCTCTCTCTCTCTCTCTCTTTTTCTAGATATATATATATAGCATGTGGGCCCAGTTCTAAGTTGATTGTTTCTTTATTTTCATGGCCATTTGGTCTTGTCTACCTCGTCTCTCTGAAATATCGTCTCGTCAGGTCGTTTAAGTGAAATTTGAACGCTTCAATGCGCAATTCCCACAAACTGTGTCTCAACCTCGGTCGCCTCCTTTTCTAAGGACAAACTCATTAAAGGGCCGCGTCTCCTTACGATTGATACTCAGCGCATTTCTGTCGAATTCAATTTACCCGCGGATGAGTACAATGACTTGTCTGGCTGTAGATAAAGTCTGTGCCACTTTGATAAGTCTGAGCTGGGGGCGGGGTTTATTTACCTGTTAAACATCTAATCTCGACTCTGGAACAAATCTGAATGCAAACAAGCTGGAAAGTGCACTTGGAAATGCATTTTGGGCACTTCTTAACGTATTTATTTATTTGTTTTTTTTTTCGGGCTGAGTTTCGTTTTTTATACGCATGCTGTTTGCTCGCGACTCTCGGTCGGCCATAAAACACTGAAATTAACATAAAGCAGCGGCCGCATGGCAACCATTCAACACTTCGCGATCATCTGATCAGCGCACGAGCCCGTTGGCGTTAATCAGTCCTGGAGCAGCTCTAGGCTGGCAACTGGCAGCCGGAGCATATGATGCGAAGGCTGTGCCTCCAACTCCGGCTGATTCATCTTGCCAGCCAACTCTTGCACAATCTACCAACGCTTGCTGCGCTCATTTGTGACTCGCATATACATATTTATCATACATATTATTATTATTTGCATTTAGCTTAATTTGTGCCGTCGACGTGTCGGCTGAAGGTTGTGCGACGGCCAGCCAAAAGCCAAGCGCAGTTATCGCAGTTCGTGAAATTTTTGACATTTCTTCAGCCATGGAAGCTACGTTCCAAGATAAAAGCCAAGCAGATGCAGCTATTAGCTACAGTTGGCAGCTTCTGCTGGCGTATGCTTTGCCCTTTTTTTTGATCATATTCTGAACTTTGCCCCAACATAAATACCCTAATATATTTGCTCTACAATCAATTAGTTCAATATGTTTGCTGTCGCTTTGCTTTAGGAACCTTGGAGCCGAGCCGAGCCCTGCTTTTATTGCGTTTGGACCCAATGCCAATCAATCAATTGTTGGCTCTCAAATGGTGACTCACAGACTGGATGCAATCGCTGGCGACTGGAGTGGGATGGACTGGAGATGCAGTCTGTGGATTTTGAGTCATGCGCCATAAAAGAGAAGATGCTTTTAAATATTGTTGAGGGAGAGAGAGAGTGGGAGCGCGGAGCAGCAACAAAAACGTGCAACATGAACGTGCTGTGGCTTACTTTTCACCTACAACAAACAACAAGAAGAACTGGCCAAGTTGTCTGAACCTTGTCTTTGGGTTTTTTTCGTTGGGTTTTTTCTTTTTTTTTTTGTTGTTGTTGTTTGTATTTGTGGGTCGATCGATTGTTGATGCTCGATCGTTGCGCCCTTTGCTGCTTGGCGATTTGCTGGCGATTCGCTGGCGATTTGCCAGCCGCACGCTATGCTGCGGCATTTCCGCTTAATGCTGACTCAACAGACGCAGCATTGGCCATGGCCAAGAAGAGGAAGAAGAAGTAGAAGTCGTTCGAGCTGTGGGCAGTTGGGCTTAAGCCCAAACCAGGCTCGATCTGTCTCTTTCCCCCCCCCCCCTCTCTCTCTTTCTCTCGCTCGCTCGCCGTCTTGCTGCTCGGTTTCTAATGCCAATTAAGGCGCTGCCACGCCCATTTGGGCCAGCAAGACGGTTAACTGGTTTTTTGCGCCCTTTTCGCTGTCAAAACGCTCGAGTCCATTTCCATGTTCATTTCCATTTGTCATCTGAACTGCGGCAAATCTGTGGCCACAGGGTGATCCAAGCGCGAGAGAGCCACAGCCAGAGAGCGTCAACTTGTTTACCTGCGCAAGCAGTTTACGTTTACGTTTTTACCTGTTTACCTGCCTCCTCCTCCTCCTCCGTTTGGCTGGCTGGCCTACTGCAACACGCAAAACTCCCCCGAAATTCGAGTTGGACGGCGACTTGTTGTTGGCTCAGGTGAGCTCAGGTGAGCTGCCAGTGCTGCCCGGCACTTGGCGGAAAATAGCCAAAAAAAATAGCCGCATTTAGCTACAATTAAAGCTTTGAATGTGGTCAGCAGTGTTTAGCACAAGCAAAAACATAAACAGCCGAATCAGCTGCCACTTTTGGCTAGAAAACGGCTAAATTGGCCAACAGTCAGTAACCGAAGTTCTTGTCTCTATTGTCTCGTCGCACAAACCGGTCGTCGCCGCGCTCGCCCTCTCTCTCTCTCTCTCTCTTGCTCTCGTTCTTGCTCTCTCGCGCTCGGTGCCCGCGCTTGGCCTGGCCAAGAGAAACGAGTTTCAGTTGCGAGCCAATTTTTGTAGCGCGTGGACGTCGCAGCGCGCGAATCAAACGAGTCACAACTCGAATCGAGAAAAACTCGAATCGAATATCGAAACGGGAATCCGAAACTCCGACGCGAAGCAAAAAACAAAATCAAATCAAATCAAAAACGCGCCAAACGCAAAACCCAAATTTGTAAAGCATTTTTTTTCTGTTTGTTGTGCT